TCCATATTTCCCACGTCATATTTCAGAAAAACTATGCTTGTGTAAATTCGCAATGGCTTGTGGTTGGTGTTTCGGCATTTTTCTTAAAATCTGAGGCTACCAATAAACTCTTGTTTGCTCCAAAATAAATTCTGAATATGCTCTACTGCTTCTCCATGGTAATCTTCGGAACATCAATATACTGTTCGACAAGTCTGAAATATTTATTGTTGATGTTGCATTCGACTCGGTACCTGCCTATATACTGTTTGGGGGGAGGCGGAGCTAAAGTCTTTGGTAGAAGAATTGATTACATGCAAGAATTTTAGTTTTATCGAATAAAATTTTATGTCCGGTTGCATGATTATGTTCGGCAAATGCTGTTGAGTTTATTTGCAATATTCTTAGGCTCTTTTATGTTTTTTTAGTCTAGTTGATATTTTTCGTTCTTCCTCTCTCGTATGCGTGGAATGCTGTAAACTCCTGATTTCTCAAACTGCATTTTGTCCTTGTTGTTGAATCGAAGATGTTTGTGAGATTTTTGGACAAGTGGTAACTCTAGTTTTAACATTATATTTCTTAAGAATTTTTGGCCCACAGTTGCAAGTTTGAAGTTGCTTTCGGACTTGTTTTCTTTGGGAGATTTTATTGAAGCGTTTTTTGTAATGGTACGTTTAATAATGTGATAATTAATTGAGATATGAGTAGTTGTAGGTGTAGTTTTACTGCTCTGTAAACAAGACGTTAACGTTACTGATATCTTATTTGTCTGTGTGCGTAGGCTTTCTGTAACCTGAATTACTCAATGTTAGCTCTGATTTTCTATTAATGAGAATATCCAAGAAGGAGGTTACTATTAATTTCTAATTCAGTGGTAAAACGTGTGTTTAAATGATTAAGAGAGTTTCTAAATAGTTTTGGTTTTATATGGAATCTGTCGAGGGATAGGCAAAATTATTTAGGAGTTCTGGACGCTTTTTGGAGGTTTCACTTGATCTTCTTACAATTATATCAATAATTTCCAGTTTCATCCGTTTTGCAACATTATTCAACATTTTCTTGTATCGTAAAACTAGGATTACCCTATCTAAGGCAATCATATACATTTAAAAGAATAACCTTTACTTTCACTGACAAGGGAGAATTATTGTAAAATCGATAAAATCGATTATTTTTGAGAGCATACGCGCGAATTTTTTTTTGTTGTTCTCTATAGACCGAACCCATTTATGGCCATAACTTTCGAACGGATTAAGGTAGGAGCTTGAAATTTGGCTCCTTTTTTACAGTCCGCGATCCGCACAATTTACTTAAAAATGGCCTCGATCAGACCTTGGCGTTCATATTTTTTTTTTTCGATTTTCGACTGTTTTTTGAACTTTGTTATGAAACACGATAAGTGTCCGAAATTTGAACCTATCGATTTGAAATTTAGCAAAAGTATAAAGCTTAGGCCCGTGACGGAGATTATTGAAATTGAGAGGGATCAGTTAATGGGAAATATTTTTTAAAATTTCAAAACAATTTTTTTCAAAAATCAAAAAGTGAGTATTTCTCTAAAATCGTTCATCGGATCGAAAAAATTCTTGAAGGAAAAGACGCAGAATATTGACGCCCATAAACTTTTATTCTTGATATTTCTTAAAAAATATACAGGGTGCGCCGTTATTACGAAAAATCTGAAAATTGAGTTGCCTTTAAACGGAAAATGGACTGTAAGTTAAGTACTGGTACTCAGTAGGCAGTTTCTTCTACATGAAAGTTTAGCCCATAAAGAGGTAAAACCCTTGTATTTAAAGTGTTCACATATTGTACAGGGTTTTAGAGATATAACGTGTTATGCTGAAAAATGCAGCAAGTACCCGTAATTTGCAGCTATTGACTTCAAATTTATCACGTTGGTAGTAGAAGTCCACCACCGCATGCAAATTATAAAAGCTAGGTGCAATCCGGCATCGCCAAATAGTTTTTAAAAATTTTCGAAAAATTATTTGTCCTCATTTTGGTCTCTATAAAAAAATTGATGTCTCGAAAACTATTAAATCTATCGGCAAAATTATTGAACCGTAAATCGCGGAAGGTCGAGGACTGCAAGTGTTATTCCAGGCATTTTTTCAATTATATACAGGGTTTGTCAATTGTAGAAAAAAATCTAAAAGACTATGAAAATTGTTTTTTTCTATAGAAAATTATTAACCTTAAAACAAAATTTGTAAAAAATATTATCAATTGGTTCAAACAGTGGCATATGCATACGCGGTTCGAGATATTTGAAAAAATCTTATTCCTCGGGTTCAGTGTATGTCATCAGTCGATGACGTCATTTACTATTACGACGTACTGCATGGTTTCATAAAACAAGTATTTTCTTTAAAACCACTGATTCTAATAGAAAAACTCCTATACCACGAAACGTGGGAGATCCAGGGCTATAACCTCTATTTCGAACATTGTTTGAATTATATACAAGGTTTGTCATTTATGGTCCAAAGAATCTAAAACATCCTAAGAATTTCCGTTTTTGTGGGTATATTATTGGGAATAAATAAAAAACTGCTAAAGATGCGATATTTTAATTTGAACAGTATCGTAAACAACAGACTAATTACTTTTGTTTTCTGGAAAGTGATGTCCGAACCCACTCACTCTTATACACCAGCAACAATGGATGATCGAATTCCCAAAATAGAGACACCGGCATCGAGGTTGCTTGAATGTTTACTTTTTTCAATTAATTCATTTGATAGCTACATATGAGTTTATTTGATGACCCGTTTCGCCGTGATGTTGAGAAACTGTTGATGTTTTCATCTACTGTGCGGATCTTATAAGCTTGTCGCTATAACAATTATACATTTGGCTAGCCTGAAATGATGCAAGAATTAGAAGATATATTCTATTAACATTATAGACTCTTGTAAAACCTGAATAAATGAGTTCGGAAATTCTACCTACGACCATGTTGTCGATCGCATATCTGCTGAAAATAATATGGTTTTCACCCTATTAACGGAAAAGCTATAATGAGAGGCAAGAACAAAGTGATTCTAGTGAGAATGTAATAATCATCCAAATCCGGCGTAAAAGCCAGATATTCGAATTTGATTGAAACTGACCTTTAGGAACTTTGTGTTTTAGCGCAACGTGTAACAATAAACACTTCCGGCAACCGGAAATTGAACGAAATTTTTTTACGCTAGGCGAAATTCAAAATTGAAGCTCAAAGTTCCGAAATCATTCGCGTTTCAATGAAATTTTAAGCAAAGCGCATTGTTTTCATTATTTCAGAAATCTCATTTCACCCATATGAACGAAATATTGCGAATATGTTTTACCTTTTGGATCTATACAACGCATTATTTTTTTTTGCTGTAACGGAAAATGCCGATTTTTGCATTTATTTGCCATTAAACACTTTGTGTGTAGATTCCCCGGCTCACTTATTATAACAAATTTCTGCATTGGTTTGCAAAAAATTACAATACGTTTCGATGCGTTTTGTTAAATGTTCGGGCTGATCGGCTGCCACAAATAGATTTTTAATTTATACTTTTCTATCGCGAACATCGACAATAACAGATCTGACAATTGATGGATAACACAGTCCGATGCCTTTTTAATTGTTTATCGTACTGTAAAAGTTTTCAGCGATTTATAGGTATGTCGCATTGTTCAAAGCGCTAGTTGAACTACATTTTTTATTAACGCTTTGGAAAGTTTAATATTACCTAAAAATTCCAATAAATTCTGGGTATCAATTAGGGTTATTATGGTTGTAAATTATTGGCCACATTATTGTATTTTGAAATTGTGAACACGTTATGGATGTTTATTATAAACAACACAATAAAGTCAAGACAATAAAGCTTTCTGTTGTAATTTGCACTCTCAAATGACATTCAAGGATTAAGCAATTAAATAGAGGCCCATAACTCAGGGAAAATTGGATTTTGATGTTTGATACATCCACATCCTATTTTCCTAAATATCGGAAATATTCCTTGATCAAGTAAGGAGCCAATTCTTCATTTATAAACAATACCACTAAAACTGCTAAAGCTCTGTAGGATATTAACAAAGAAAGTAATGCTGGGTTTTCCTTAGTATTTCCACAAAATGAATTTCCAATGTTATTAATAATAATAATAATAAAATCGAATTTGTGAGGGTCACATATAGGGTATTTTCTTTTCCGTATATTTTTAAGTATATTAAATATTTCTTTGACAAAATTGATTAATAGGATGATGGGATGATATAAATAATTATCGACCAATATCTATCATACCAACCATCAGGAAAATTGTTGTTATTATTGTTATGTTCTCAAATTTCTGCTTACTTTGAGAACAATAGTTTGTTTTTTTCGAGCCAATTTGTGTCTAGGTGCGGCAGATCGACTTGCGCTCATGGTATATCAGATTTATACTGCTTTTGAAATTAAAGAGTTTGTGGGCATAGTTCTGCGGGATCCTTACAAAACATTCGACTGTGTCCAGCATTCTGTCCTTCTAGGGAAATTACAGAGGGAGGAAATTGTTGTCTTGAAGGGTGTGCCCATCAAAAGTTCAATCTGTAGAACATGGAGTACCCCAAGGCTCCCCTCATGATGTCTCTTATTTTTAGCCTATGTAAATGATCTCCAAGAATATGTCACTGATGTTGTTTTTTCATTGTTCGTCGATGATACTTTTTGCTCAAGTGCCCAGTCTGGGCAGGACTTTTAACGGCACCTTCATATAATATCTGTTCAACACTGATGTTTGTTAAAGAGAGTTGGAATAAACGTACTTTTCATGCAGATATTCACAATCGTCATATTAGAAATAGAAATGATATTATAATCGATTACTCATGAACCGGAAAAACTGTTAATTAAAAATTACTTTTCGACAATTTTTTAAATTATGTTAATCAATGTCCAAGTTTTATTTAAGTTTGTATTTATTGTTGTTATCATCAATAAATCATTATTATTATTATTGATTAAGTCCTTATTTGATAAAGAATATCGTTTTCAGTTAGGGGTGAAACTAGTCGGTCAACCGAAGCGGAAGCCATTAAAAGAATTGGGAATTAACGTCACAAGAGCATATTCAGCGAAAACGGTGACCAAGAATCGAAACGAAGATGCGGATTTCCTTAGCTGGGAGGGTCTGATTGAACTGGATGTAATAATATATCCGACAGTAAAGGGGAAGCTGGAAATCGATCAGAACGGGCCATCCTACGTTCTCCAGTCAAAAATAAACCTTCCTCACGGAACTGCCACAATTTTCGACGAGTTTGTTTACATAGTAAGTATGCTCTTTTTGTCTTCATTCGAAATGTGGAGAATTTGCTGGAATATGGGTACAGCGAGACTTGCCTTCCGAACGCTTTAGTATGTAAATTAATTGTAGGTGACCCGAAGTTTAAGCGGCAACCTGATTGTTAATTAAAAATTCATCAAAAAGGTTAGGGCCAGTTGAAAGTTTTTATTTAAACGTGGGAAGCACTTACTCCTAAAGTGCGATCAATTTAACTTGCCACGTACGTCATATATTCTTGCTCCAAATTAATCTCGAATTTCATTTGCACATTATTTTGGTTCGGCATTCATTTGACACTAACTTAAAACATGGAATTTTGAGATAGTTTTGGTTAATTCAACAATTTTCCGAATGAACACTTTTTTTATTCATTTTTCATTCATTTAAAGGATTGGACTTCCTTGGTGAAAGTGGTAAGCTATTCAATAGTTTGATTCCTGAAGTGTTTACAGAATTTTTGGATACTTGAAGTCCGCTTTGACAATTTTTCTGACTAGACTAGAATATAATTTTATTTTACTAAGTTGTGTAATTGTAACAGGTCCCAAACAAAGCAATAATTATATGGCATTACAGACAACAATTAGTTTATTAACAAAGAATGAAGTGTAAGAAAGGGACACCTTAAAATCCGTGTTTAAATATGCTTCTTCATTGTACAAATATTGGTCAGAATATAGCAATTAAGTGGTTTTTTGATGTTTGGAAAAATGAGTCATTCAATTTGATTCTTTTTTTCTTTATTTTTTAACTTAGCTTCTTCTTCGTCAGTAGTTTTTCCATGCGCTTTATTTCTTTATTGCTTTTGTAAAGTACTCCAGGAAATATACCGTTTTTACCACATAATCTGGTATTTAACTATGGTAAATTTTTATGAAAGTTTCTCTTTGTAATCCCCAATAAATAGATTCGCAGTTCCATGAATGAAAGAAATGAATATTTAAATAAATAAATATATCCATCCTGAGAAAACCCAAGATCCAAGTAAAATGTTCTAAATTTTTGACATACGATTCTGCCTTTTCCACTATTAAATTTTTTTCCACCCTTAAATTGGAAATTAGTTTAAGTTTTCCAGTGTGTTGTTAATATAGGAAATCAACCTATCCAATGGGCAAATTCAAATTGAAATCGAGCTGCCTCAAGTAAGGACTGTTTTAGGAAGATTTGTAAAAGGCTCACTAATATGAATTAATATAAGTTTAATCACGGCACATTTCTTGTCGGCTAACATCTTAAATATGTCCCTGGCTTGTGGGACACTTGCCGAAAATAATGGCCCCTTCCTTCAAAAACATGAAAGATTGTAAAACCGGTATATCGTTCAGAGAACTCTATCGATGTCATTTGCATGTCATAAAAAAGGCACCATTCATATTTAAGAAATATTCTGAAATCGTTTTTTTTGTAATTTCAGGAAAAATTAAATATTTCTGGGGATATGGTTGGAAATTATAAACTTTGTAAGAGTTGTTTGAGCATTTAGATGATGTCGAATTTTGCATATTGCCTGTCTTGAGACCTCGATGGTGAGGGTTTTATCGATAGATAGATAGATAGACTCAAGATAGTGTGATAGAATGATCGTTGCCTAATCTGAACACGACGTAAATGCCAATTTCAATTAGTCCAACTATATCCGCCTATTTCCACGTGTACGAACTTTAAAATTCCACGCTAGGTGTGTTCTTTTTTCTTTTTTTTTTTCAAAGGCGCAATCGAATTTTACGGTTGAGATTCGGCTCGAAAAAAATCCGTTTTAAATCCATCGAGTAAATTAGGCAGAACATAAACGATAAAAAATGTTTTGATACCTAAATTACTCGACCTCGCGGGAAATATACGTCTTTGTTGTTAAATTGCTGCCGGTCTATACGTACCCCTACCGCTTTTGCGTTGTTCACCGCGGCTCGGCTTTCATTTTTCACGTTACGTAAATTTCATTTTTTAATTTCTCATGGTTAGAATACTTTACGAATTCCCAAACGGGTCGACTTCGGTGCCGGGCTAATCTTCCGTTTCATAGTTTGCAAAAATTAATCCGCGAGTTTGTAAGTAGTTTTAGAAGTTCGAGAAAAAAATTAATTAAGCGTAATAAAATACGGGATTTAATCAACGCGCAAGTTATGTTGGCAACATCTTTACCCTTATCGGTTACGTCATTATATTTACTGTACCCTAGCGTATAAGTATCACCCAGAATTTGAGCAAACTTAAATCGTTTAGTCAGATTATTAATCGATATATTCAACTTTCTGAAAGTATAACTTGATGTTTAAAAAAAAAAATTCGAATTACATTTTTAATAAATGAACTACAGACTTGTACCAAATTAACACAAAGTCAAAATCTTTTGTGCATCTTACATCGCAAATAATCTGGTCAAAATGAAAAAGTAGCACTTCTTTAATTACTTTGTATTTTTCCAAAAAGTATAATTGAATCTTATTAAAACTACTGCATTCTAACAAAATATTAACATTCAAAATAACCATTACAAATAAAAATTGAAAAAGTGAATTTTGGAAAATATAAGATCAAAAATGTTCCGCGCTTCTTGCTGTATCTTCATATTTTACCAAATTAATGAGGTTTTCTTGTAATTATGCCAACCTCTAGACATTGGGTCATAAGCCTAGATATTAGTGAATTATTGATTTGAGCCATACTTCTGATGGAAAAACCTTCTTGATATGAAGTAACTACTCTCACTACTTCTATTTGATTTGTTTGTCTCCTTTGGCCAAAAAAAAAGCCTTTAAAAAACATGTTTTTGTACACCAATTGGAAATAGCAAACAAATATTATACCAGGATTACTCAATATTGAGTCTCCTAAAGAGCGACTAAATCAATATATATATATATACGCAAAAGACAAAGGTAAAATAAAAAATTTGCTAACTATATATATATATATATATATATATATATATATATATATATATATATATATATATATATATATATATATATATATATATATATATATATATATAGCCAACTTATTTATTTTACCTTTGTCTTTTGCGTTTTTAATAATTTCCTCTGTCTTTTGCGTTTTTAATTACTTCCTCTGTCTTTTGGGTTGTTAATAATTTCCTGTCTTTTGCGTTTTTAATAATTTCCTCTGTCTTTTGCGTTGTTAATAATTTCCTCTGTCTCTTTCTTTTTCAATAAATTCCTCTGTCTTTTACGTTATTAATAATTTCCTCTGTCTTTTGCGTTTTTAATAATTTCCTCTGTCTTAGCGTTTTTAATAATTACTACTGTCCTTTGCGTGTGTTAAAAATTTCCTCTGTCTTTTGAGTTTTTCATAACTTCCTCTGTCTTTTGCGTTGTTAATAATTTTCTCTGCCTTGAACGTATTTAATAATTTCCTCTGTCTTGTGCGTTTTCAGTAATTTGCTCTGTCTTTTGCGTTGTTAATAATTTCCTCTATATTTTGAGTTTTTAATAATTTCCTCTGTCCTTTGCGTTTTTAATAATTTCCTCTTCCTTTTGCGTTTTTAATAATTTCCTCTGTCTTTTGCGTTTTTAATAGTTTGCTCCTTATTTGCGTTTTTAATAATTTCTTCTGTCTTTTGCTTTTATAATAACTTCCTCTGTCTTTTGCGTTGTTAATAATTTCCTCTGTCTTCTGCGTTTTTAATAATTTCTTCTGTCCTTTGCGTTTTTAATAATTTCCTCTTTATTTTGCGTTTTTAATAATTTCCTCTGTCCTTTGCGTTGTTAATAATTTCCTCTGTATTTTGCGTTTTCAATCATTTCGTTTGTCTTTTGCGGTTTTAATAACTTCCTCTGTCTTTTGCGTTTTTAATAACTTCCTCCGTCTTTTGCGTTGTTAATAATTTCCTCTGTCTTTTGCGTTTTTCATAATTTTCTCTGTCCTTTGCGTTTTTAATAATTTGCTCCTTATTTTGCGTTTTTATTAATTTCCTCTGTCTTTTGCGTTTTTAATAACTTCCTCTGTCTTTTGCGTTATTAATAATTTTCTCTGTCTTTTGCGTTTTTAATGACTTCCTCTGTATTTTGCGTTGTCAATAAATTCTTCTGTCTTTAACATTTTTAATAATTTACTCTGTCTTTTGCGTTGTTAATAATTTCCTCTGTCTTTTGCGTTTTTAATAATTTCCTCTGTCTTATGCGTTTTTAATAATTTCGTCTGTCCTTTGCGTTGTTAATAATTTGCTCTGTCTTTTGCATTTTTAATAACTTCCTCTGTCTTTTGCGTGTGTTAATAATTTCCTCTGTCTTTTGAGTTTTTAATAACTTCTGTCTTTTGCATTTTTAATAATTTGCACCTTATTTTGCGTTTTTAATAATTTTCTCTGTTTTTGCGTTTTTAATAATTTCCTCTGTCTTTTGCGTTTTTAATAACTTGCTCCTTATTTTGCGTTTTAGTAATTTCCTTTGCCTTTTGGGTTTTCAATAACTTCCTCTGTCTTTTGCGTTGTTAATAATTTTCTCTGCCTTTAACGTTTTTAATTATTTCCTCTGCCTTTTGCGCTTTTAATAATTTCCTCTGTCCTTTGCGTTTTTAATAATTTCCTCTGTCTATTGCTTTTTTAATGACAACCTCTGTCTTTTGCGTTGTAAATAATTTCCTCTGTCTTTTGAGTTTTTAATAACTTCTGTCTTTTGCATTTTTAATAATTTGCACCTAATTTTGCGTTTTTAATAATTTTCTCTCTTTTTGCGTTTTTAATAATTTCCTCTGTCTTTTGCGTTTTTAATAACTTGCTCCTTATTTTGCGTTTTAATAATTTCCTCTGTCTTATGCGTTTTTAATAATTTCCTCTGTCTTTTGCGTTTTTAATAATTTCCTCTGTCCTTTGCGTTCTTAATATTTTCCTCTGTCTTTCGCGTTTTTATTAATTTCCTCTCTCTTATGCGTTTTTAATAATTTCCTCCGTCTTTTACGTTTTTAATATCTTCCTCTGTCTTTTGCGTTGCTAATAATTTCCTCTGCCTTTTGCGTTTTTA